TGAAGATTTATTAGACTTTTATGCCAACAACAGTAACTCCACCACTACAAATGTGGGTCACTGGGCCACAGCGTGCAGAGGTAAGGGAGGCACAGTGGGAGGAGTTTAACAATCCCTTCTCTTAATGGTAAAACCTTCTGCTCTACCTGGGCTCCGTAGACCGGGTCCTCCTGGAGTTTAATGTGGGCTTTCGGGCTGTCGTGGATGCTGCCTAATGATGGAACCACTTCCCCCAGCAGATCCCTCAGTGTGTCCTCCTCCCCGCAGCACAGTTCGATAGCAGACACTGACACACTGAGATCGGTCCACGTCCTCTCTCTGCGGCGCTCGATGGCGCTGTACAGCCAGGAGATGGCACAAGGAATCAAGCCGAGCTTCCCAATGTTCTCACCACTGCCCACCATACTGGACCAGGACCCTGAGGTGGAAGGAGAACACACAGATGGATTTTCTATATATAAAAATGAGGTTTTCGCAAGACTCGATTCGGTCTTATGAAAAATGAAGTGCACCCCAGGATTCGATAGCGTGCAGCTATTATAGACCATAATCATTAACCAATGAATTTCTGTATGAGTGCATCAGACTTCAATATTGTGTAACAGTTTTTGTCTTTACAACATGGCTTAAGTTCATTGAACTTTGTGGGTCACCTCGACTGTTCACAATCATTGCCTGCTGCACGACACAGCTTCAGCTGGCTGAGCCTCACATTTGTCTCTAGCTTAGTTTGGAGTTCGTGGTGATTATACGACTACTCGGTTCCCAGGTGACTGCATGAGCCCAAATCCTCGTACCTCCACCACCGTGCCTGACACTCAGGTGTTTATACTGACCTGTTGTGTTTGTTCGGGTTTTGGCTCAAATGTTGCTGTGCGTTACAGCCAAGCACCAACATTTTGCTGTTGTCTGTTCAAAGGACTTTGATCCTGAATTTTTGCAGTTTGCAAAGCTAAGTCACGCTGCCATCCAAACAAGCTGTATGTTTTCAGTCTTTCTAGCAGTGCCTTAATGAACTTTAACTTTAACATGCTAACTGAGGCTAACTGAAATGTAGCTCTTATGCACCGTCTAAGCATGAGTTACACACATTTGGGTGACCTTCTGTTAACCACACCTCAAAATGTGCTCACAGCTGCAGATCATCAATGAATCAGCTTCTTGCTAATTAGGATCCCTCTGTGGTTCTTTGGTGTGCTCTTATTAAGAGTGTACTTAGTTGGACTGTGGGCTGCCTCGAGTCCTTTGAAAACCCTGCTACATATGAATTACATGAAGGTATGCATCCACACAATATATACTACATTCACAAATACACAGTCTGAGTGGCACAATCAGCTTTTATATTATTTATGTCTGAAAAATATATTTTCCATATCAATGCAACGTGTTGCTGTCAGAAACAGTTTTCAGGGCTGTTTAATAAATAAAATCACAGCTTCTGCTGTTCACGTGCTTAACATGAGACACAAGTCGTTTATTCCACTTAGCGGGGGAACTATTTTTTAATTTTCCAAAACAAATCATCATCAGCCAGAGTTAATTCATTTTTAGCTAAGCTACCCAAAAACTTGTACGTCTGGCTTCTGCACGTGTACTACCAAACACAATGGGGCCACAGTCATAGATGAGGCCATGGGCTCCAAATAGTCTACACCAAATAAACATCGAACTGTAACATCGTAACACTG